ACATGCCAACTGTGTGTGCACATGACATTATACATGAAAATTTGGATGTGAAAATGCTATTCATGCAATGGATGTCACAATTTGTTCTCTGTCAACCAAAACGACCACATGTGTCAAATTCCAAGAACTGTATAATTCTCTGCCGTTACGTAATTGTTTATAAAATATGTATTCATTTCTATATGCAGGAGATGAAGAAACAGTCAAAACAATAGAGAAAAACTGGCAATGTCCATGAAACAAGGTCAAAGCCACTCTCAATCCACCAATTGCAATGTGAATTACTAAACAACTTACTCTAATCGCTAGATTTAGCTAACTGTTGCTATTTGCTGACTTTAAACTTAAAAAATAGCACTAGGCAACTGTTTTGTGACAAAAAATTAAGATACAGCCAAAACTTATTACAAAATTATATATTTTAAGAGAAAAAGAATTTAAAAAAGCTATATTTCACATGGATTGAGCTAAAAATGTTAAAAAATAATGATTACTTAAATAAGAAGATCAATAATTATGTTATTCCTGTTACTATTTCTTGTTTTCAAACTTAAAGATAGCACCAAGAACCTTTGTTGTAACAAAACATTAAGGTAGAGGCGAAACATTATTACAAAATTAGATTTTGGAAGAATAAAAAAGTGGAAAAAGCTTTGTATCACTTGTAATAAGGAAAAAATATGTTGAAAATTATTGGGAAAATTGGTTAATTTTAAAATGCATAAAAAATTTATGAGTTTTCAAAATGATTTTTTTTTAAATCCCTAAAGATTCATTCTATACTGGGCCCAAGACCAATCTCCTACAGTTAAATCACCACTAACTTTCATAGAAATTCTAATTGCTGTAATAATAAAAGGATAAACATAGAACAGAGTAAAAAATATTTACTATAGCATAAGTGAAACAGTAAACTTTCCATATTCTGATTAATAACCATTTTAAACATGCCTATAAATACTATTGAGACTGAATACTACTGTGGTTTGAATCTACTTAACACACTGTCATTTGAGGAATGTGTGTTTTATATGTGAGCAAAACAATTACCCTGAGTTTGTTTTCAATATTTCTAAACATTATGTTTTATTTTTCTCCTTAAAAAAGCTAGAAATATGGCTCACATGTATATAACATTTATAAAATCTATAATTAGCAAGTAATTAATAATGTTGATCTAATTTAATCAATTACAAGACATAGATGAATATTGCTATGGCCTGAACTTACTCAACAAACACCATCACTTGAAAAATATGTGTTCTGACAACAAAATAACTGATCTGGGTTTGTTTTCATTATTTTAATACAATATTTTTCGTTTCTCCTTAAAAAAGCTATTAATATGTAAAGTAATTAATAATTTTGATCAAATTTAACAAATTATAAAACAGGAATGAATACTCTTGTGACCTTAATCTACTCAACACATTCTGTAATTTGAGAAATATGTGATCTAAAAGCAAAAGTGTTACCCTGAGTTTGAGAAAGGGTTTTTTTATTTTTGTATTTAATTTTTAATTTAAATAAAATTTGTAAAATAAATAAGTAATGATTAATTAATTTAATCAATTATTAACAATGAATGAAGATTACTGTAGCCTTTAATCTGCCCAACAAACTTGAGAAATGTGTATTCAGACAGAAAAACAATTGTCTTTTGTTTGCTTGCAGGTTTTTCTTTTTACAATATTTTCTATTTTCATCCTTAACAAAGCTACTAAGGTACTATAGCAACAATAATAAAAGGGAAAAATGTCACCAAAACAACTTGGAATAACATTTGTCAAATCAATAACTAACAAGTTTATAATAAGCATTGTTAAATATTTGCATAGAGGAAAACAAATTTATTAATACTTTAATAACAGTGATAAAACTGAAGGCTTCTATTTTAAATAATGTACTCATGCAGTGCCTCAAATAATCCTTGAAGTGTAAACATAATTTACATTTTTATGTTGAACACTCATCCTGCAATGTTGCTTTAAAGTCAATGACACAAAAAGAATGGAAAAATATGCTTTATCGCTTTAGAAATATTAGATTTGCGTAAATCATAATTGAACTAATATTTTTATAGAACAATGAGAACAATTCTAAGGCGTATCACTTATTTATACATAGGTACATTGCATGTTACGCTTTAATAATAAAACAGGACCTTGCTTTTAGTACTTTTTTAACAAAGAGTCATTGCACAAAGTAAACAAATCCATATTTAACATTTTGTCACTGTATGGTATCTAGTAATCATAGTTCTATTAAAAACGAGAAATATGATACTCAATAATGAAGGCGAAAGGTGTATTTACAAACAAGATCAGACGTAAATACAAATTTGAAGTGAAATTTGACATGCCAGATGGGAATATAAACAATAAAACTCACCTCCAAGAAGATCATCTACACTCGATTTCGTAGATGACATGTTGAAATTACTTTAAAACGCAAAGAAACTGAACGTTTTCAGCCCTTTATGAAGATTACTTCGATCGTTTTAACTATTTACGCGGAATATGAGATACCTACGTATTTACCCAAACACAACTTTGCGGCGTACGTGACTTGACAGTCTATTGCAAACAACGACAACGAAAACGAAACAACCAGTCAGCATTCATCTTTGTCGCCCGTGGCGTCACAGATCACGTGGTTGCCTACGCCAATCACAACCTACATAAAAATACCAAAATAAACAAATTAAAGGCACGAATTTTAAAAAATATTTCGTGAAATTGAAATTTCTGATATATCTTGATTGTAATTGTAATAAATGTAAGAGGGATATTTAGAAGGCTATATAAAGAAGATAAATATATATGTAATACTATCTACAACAGTTTCTACCACGGAACACCAAGTAAAATCTTTATATTTTGTTAAAAGCCATTTTTTAAAATGTGTTTATGAGCGCCAAAATGTAGGCCACCTATTATACAACCAAGTCTACTTTGAGAAGATTATATATTAGCAGTTAAAAAGATATCAAAAATTAAACAATTATAAAGTAAGAGCGATTTTACATCGTGGTATATAAGAAACTACTGCTTTTGGCGAAAGATAGGGGCTTTTGGAGAATACATCTATTTCCAGGAATAAATCCCACTTAATTAGATTCTGTAAAGAATAGGTTTTTAATATCTTAGCAATCGCTGAGAATATAAGAGATACAAGTAGTGTTTATTTTTTCTGCTAAACCTGTCATAGTGTGGAAGACAGACAGATTGATTTCGTTTTTTTGAGATTAATTTGCAGTCCGTACCTTTCACATGCATTGTATACATGTTGTATTATGTACTGTAGATCTTCCATGTCACTTGCAAATATAACCGTATCGCCCGCACATCTAATATTATTAATGCTATTTCCGTTGACCAAAATACCTTCCACAATATCCAATAAAGCTTCTTGAAATATCACTTCACTGTAGACGTTGAATAAGAGTGGTGAAAGTATGCACCCTTGTCGAACTCCTCTAAGTATACTTACTTCCTCTGTCAGTTCTCCTTTGACTCTTATTCTTGCTTTCTGATTTTGATACAGACTCGATATAATTTGTAGATCTCTACTATCTTTTTGGTCTTAAGAATACTTAAAAGCTTTTCATGTTGAACTCTGTCAAAAGCTTTTTTAAAATCTATGAAGCAAGCATATATGCCCTGATTCAAGGAAGGTTTTCAATGTGTGGCTCATTAATGCAATTGTCCGATAGTCATTGTAATCTTTAGCATTAGTGATTTTTGGAATCGTTACAAAAGTTGAGAGAAACCATTCTTTGGGTATGTGTCCCGACTTGTATATGGAGTTAAAAAGGTCTACAAAGATATCAATATTATCTTCAATAGTTCAATTGTTATTTCATCGGGTCCTGGAGCTTTTCTACCTTTTGTATGTTTTATGTCATAAATAATTTCCTCTTTCATTATTTCTGGTCCCGTGGTTTCTCCGTCAACTTCTAATTGTTCTAATTTTTGGTCATAAAATAGGTGCTCAATGTATTCTTATCATCTACGTAATTTGTCTTGCGTTTCAGTTATAGTGGTACCATCTGCATTTGTTAATATCCAGATTGGTTTGTTACGATTTCCTGAAATAATTTCTTTAACCTTCTTATGGGTGTTGAAAGTGTCATACCTTGCCTCATATTACTCAATTTCTTGACGTTTAATGGACATCCATGTTTCCTTAGCTTGTATTATTTGTTTATTAGTTTCTTGATATTTAATTTTATCTTTGTTTTTATGTATTCTTCTTTCGTTCATCTTTTCATAATTTCTTGTGTCATCCATTCTTGTTTGGCAGCTTTTGTAAATGTTAATGTTTTCCGTTCCACAGCCTCTATTGTGTCCTTTATATTCTTCCATATTCTCTTATTTTGATGATATTAAGGCATAAAAACTGATAAAGAATGTGAAATGTACTGTATTTTGGTATAATTAGCAGTATAGATACAAAAAAGAGAATTCTTGGTTAGAAAAAAAAATAAGAGGCGTAAGACTAAAGAATAATTACTAACAAACGAAAAAGTAACGCTAAAGGAAATATTTCTCAAGGGGATGTGATTTCCCGTCCCCTTTCATGTAACGCAGCACACGCTCCAATAATAACGGATTTATGCTGTAATGCCCTTTTGGCAATGCCGTCATTTAACTAGTTACCCTCTCCTCTTTCCAGCGAGACATACGTCACGATCCATCGAGATGTGGGACCAATTTGCTTAACTTATTCAAAGCTTTTTCCCCATCCAAATAGTGCACAACGTCGCTAAAGAAGATATTACTTTAAAAAGAAGTTTAAGAAGAATGGAACTGTTCCTAATTAGGAACAACGGCACTCTTGATAAGGGATACAAACTGGCCAACAAAGAAACCAGAAACAATGTATAATTCATGTAAAATGTACTGGCTTTTGATACAATTCATAGAATAGGCACAGAGGTTTAGGATTAGGAAAAGAATTCAGGCGGGAAAGAGCTGGGAATAGTAAAATCTCAAAAGAAAATATCGATTTAATTTAATCGATTCTGTAAAAATTGTACAAACTAGCTTAAAAATATTTTACTATACACAATAATTATACAATATTTACATAAAATTTATTTATCATGGTAAGTCTTTGAGCTACAGTACTGTTTTTAAGGCACTCGTTATAAATACTAGAAGTCTTTTTAAATTTGGAGACTACCTGGAGGAGGTGGTTCTAACTTTTTCTTGGCCTGTTCAAAAGCTGCCACAATGGAATCCCTACAAAAATTCTAATTAGTCACAAAAATACTGGTTATTTATAAAAGGTTTATTTAAAAACAGTCTTAGAAGCCTTTTCCTAACTCGAATATTAAAATTACCTGAAAAGTTTCCGATGCAACACGTAAGCACCGACATGTCCACAATTAACATATTTAACAGTAGCCCCGGGCCAGATATCTTCCAACTTTGACACCCCATTCCTCGGAACGTATCCGTCTGCTGTGGCACAAATAGAAATCACTAAGGATGTATCATACGGGACTGAAAAGTTTCTTAAATGAGTACATTCATCCATCATGCCCCTCATGAACCACAAGGCCTCCTTGTTTTTCATTTTTATTTCCATTACTTTCTTGTTAAGTTTGGGACGTTGAGGCGGATTTAAAAGATTGAAAGAAGAGAACTCTTTCTCTGCTAAAAGTTTCTTTACTGTGTGGGACATTCTGTGCGTTAGATCACGGCAGTCGTTCAAAACATGGATCAGTTGGTGGGGTGTTATATTGGACATGTGAATATTGGAATCGTCAAATAAATGTATTGGAATATCTAGGTCTAAAACAAAATATACATTTACAGTTTAAAAAATTTAATAACTAAGAATTCACTGCTGAATAAAAAAATCGGGTAGTTTCATATTTGTAACGTTAATAATTGTAATAAAACTAGGTTAAACTTGAAAAAGATTCATTGATCTTGTAAAAGCATCATTTTGCGGTAAGCACTGAACAAGAAAGAAGTTCCTGGTGATTTGACAGCTAATTGCACGTCAACAATTTTGACGTTGACATTTTCACACAGTGTTGCCGTATTGGTCAAATATTAGAGATAGTATGGACTACCTAAGTCTGACGTCACAATCAGCGGGAGTTTTAAAAACCTTTCCAAACATTTCTAATTTGTGTGTATTTGTCCCATAAGAAGTTGGAAATATTGTTTTTTTAATTGTTTGAACAATAAATAAGGACTTTTGGTCATAAACGTTCATTCTGTGCGATTGGTATTAATTGCTGTTCGTGAATTTGTGAGGTAAGAATATCATAGGATTAAGATATTTACTATGAATGTGCAGGTCGATCTACAATAGATCATGTCTTCTCTATTGCTCAGATAATTGAAAAGAAAGTTGCACGTGGCCAAAAAGTCCACCTGACGTTCGTAGACCTTAGGAAAGCAAATGATAGTGTCCCGCTTGATAAATTATAGGAGGCACTGGGGAAAACAAATATAAATATAGGATTGACTGAAGCGGTAAAAACGTTGTACTACCATCAAGCAACAAGAATTAAAACAGGAAATCTGATAACACCGGAATTCAAAGTGACTAAAAGACTAAGACAAGTATGCTGTATATCCCCAACATTATTCAAAATATATCTCGAAGCAGCACTCAACAAATGGAAGAAAAAATGTACGAATATGGTGATACCACTAATGGACTTAACTTTGTACACTTTGTGCTTTGCGGATGACCAGGTCATCATCGCACAGGACTCTGAAGACCTTAGTTACATGATGCGAAAACCATTAGAAGAGTTTACAGATTGGGGTTTGGAAGTGAATATTGGAAAAAAACTGATCAGAGATCAAACTATGTGACGACTACAAATACCTAGGAGGAAAGATTACTCAGGACGGAAAATTAGAAGCAGCTATTAAGGAACGAAATACACAGGGAAGGAATAGCATAGCCTTACTGAACAGCGTACTGTGGGATAAAAACATCTCTAAGGAAAACATGTGGAACACATGGATGCGAAGTGTGGCCCCTAAAAGACAGAACAGTGAAAATGCAGAGAAAATGCAAATCTCTAGACGCGACAGAATAACAAACGTGAGAGTCCGAGAAATCATGGGTGTTACACATAATATTGTTGATGACATCAAAACGACACAACTCAGATGGTACGGACACGTAGGGAGAATGCCGGAGAATAGAATACCAAGACAAATTCTTGAATGGCAACCAAGAGGTAGGCGAAGACCAGGAAGGCCTAGAAGAAGTTGGAGAGAAGGAGTTGATAAAGAAATCAGGGAAAGAGAACTGAAGAACGATATATGGAACGATAGAATGAGATGGAGATTTGAAATCGGAAGACGTCGAAGAACGTTGTAAACCGACAGACAGCTAAGGTAGTCCATTATGCAATTATATAACGTTTCAATTGGTTAGGTGAATGGATTAATCATCTGTTCTTAGATATTTTGGCAATATTTTTTATTAAATACAATAAACTGTTCTTTATTCAAAGTATTTTAGGTCTGTTTACCTTGAAATAAGGTATGTAGATCACAATAATTAAAAATAAATGTTAAAGAATTAATTTATGAGCATCTGTTTAAACAGTGACAACATAAAAATTTCATTGATGACATGCAATGAGCTATAAATGAAACAATTTACCTGTACAGATTGTGAAAGATACATATGCTGGAGTAACAGCTAGTGTTAGAACTGATCTATAAAAGTTCAACCTTCATACTTTTAAAAATTGAATGTAATCAATCACAAAAAAACACAAATTTCCAAGTTTTTTTAAACAGCAGCCCATTAAGCCCAGAGTTAGTGATGTTAGAAACATGTAGAGCATATACATTTCAGTGTTAATGCAATTTAGTTTTTAATATACTGCATGCTTTCATCTAAAAAAGGTCTTCAATTTCTCTTTTTTTCAGTAATTCTTGAAACAAAAATAGGAAGTAGCACTCCGGGAGTGACCGTAAAGGGGAAGCACAGCTTTCTTATCGTCTTATCAATTAGCATAAATATCTTATCGATTTTATTAATTTTAATTGTATTAAGACCCACACATGGAATTAGTACTACTATAGTGTATGGACGCCCGATCGTTTCAGTCCTTTTATTTTTTTCATAGAGTAGCCCGCGATAAGAAAGCTATGCTTTCAAAAATTCTTATCAAGTATTTATAGCATAACATATATGAGCAATATTCCATAAATACATGGCCTAGTTCAGAAATGACGCCGTATTAGAGAAATCTTAACTGTTATATCCGTACCTCGGAGGTAATATATTATATATAATATATTATATTAATTTTGGTTAAATATCGGAAATATGAGTATTTACTGATTACAAATTTAAAAAATGTTAAAACTGCTCTCCTTAAAAAGTAAGAAAATGGAAATAGTGTCCTTTACCTCCGAGGTACGGATATAATTAGTCTGTTTTTGATAATAGCACAGCAGTTAATAATAGTTATACAAATTTTAATTTCTAAGCTCTAACACCTAAGTGCCAACAAGGCAAACACAACTGTTTTTGTGTGTTTGTCATTACGTATTGGTAAATTTTCGAAACAACTCTCAAGACTTTTGTGTCGTTTTACAACCCTTTATGAAACTTAGGTGTAGGGTAAACTGGTCCATAGTGGGAATTTCACTCTCGTGGCTATTTTATCGTTGCGGTAGAAGTATATTTCAGTGTGTGTGCTATCATAAAAGTGCCGCCTCGAATATCGTGTTAGTTTTTCAATTAGTACTATGCGTTTCGATATTTTGGAAATTCAGGTGAGTGATCAGCTGAAATTTTTATTTTCATGTTCAGATTTTTTCGAATAATTCGCCGAAATGTATTCTATCTTACTTGAATTTGGTATGGATATCTAAAACATACATAACTTCAATATCATCTTATTCTGATCTTATTCTGTTTAAACCTAGTTCTACCACTTTGATAAAATTTTTGGTCATCTGTATTTTGATGCGTCATGGTCTATAGTGGGAATAAAAAAGCGGTCCATACTGGGATATGATAATATAATGCGGTCTATACTAAAATATACTAAAACATGCTAAACATTTTCATTCTTTGCAGAATTGAATATGCCGAGACATCCAAGATCCCAACTGTCAAGCAGATTTCGAAAAAAGCCTAGAGAATCATGAAGTATATGCGAGGTCGTTTTGCAGTAGAACATGTTGTAAAAAATCAAATGTCATTGATGTCATCATACAGCTTATAATGACGACATTAGTTCGAACAGTGCTGTTAGTGAAGAGATTTGCAACGATTCTAGCGATTTAGCTTCACATCAAAAAATCAAGATTTGTCTATTCAAAGTCATGACTATGTTATAGTAAGATACATGACAAAAAAAACTGTTACACATTATGTCGGTCAGGTTATTAAGATAAGTGGAGATGAATATAATTTCTCTTTCATGAAGAGAATTGTGACCGGCAAATTTGTTTTTCCCGACAAACCAGATGTAGATACCTTAGAAGCAGAAGATATTTTACTAAAGCTGCCCTCTCCTGACATTAGTGGAAGTACAGCTACGACTTCTAGCTAGTTTATGTTCCCTGTGAATTTTTTCCAATTTAAAATAGAGTACGAGTTTTTTTATTAAAAATCCCACTATTGACCACTATGTTCATAGTGGGACGAGTGGTCCATAGTGGGACTTGTTGAATAAAATTTATTATAAATAAAGGATTACTTGAAAGTATTATTAATTTGCTTCCTTACATCCGTACCCATGCATAGGTACCCTTACTATAATTTACAAACGCTTAAGCAAGGTGCTATACGCTTTGAAAAAAAAAACGTCTCACATGGACCAGTTTACCCCAAAGAGAAATGGATTCTTTAGCAAAAAAGCCATTTCTTCGGTATAACCAATTTATTTTGATCAGAATAACGCGTCTGAGGTTGCAATGATCAAAATTCATGAATTGTCGTCTACATTACTGTCCCTCCGTGATCTAATCTTGTCTTGAAAACTGCTCAGAGATTTAGAGATAATTGACCTACAATAAATACATTGCTACTTTGTCATAAAGTAACAGGATATAAAAAAAAGTTATAAAATCAAAACAGACATTTTCTGTATTTGTTAGGCCACATATGTTATAGAAAACTCGTCATAGAACCAATTACACACAAGCAATGACATGAAGTAGTGTAAATACGAACGGAATTGTTTTGACAACCCCAAAAAGTTTTAAAAGAAAATAAATTGAAATTATTGTTCAAAATTCTTAAAATATTATGTTTAACAATTCAGTAGACAGTTATCTACAGTGTGGACCAAGAAAACTGCCAGTAACAGTTGCTACGAAGGAAAACTTATAACACATCAAGTTTGTTTAAGATGAAAACAATTTTTTGTACAAAAAATATAACTTTATGGTTCTAAACACAGGTTTAATTCTCACAATTCTTTAAGAGAACTTAATATTGTAAAGTTTGAGCTACAATTTTTGTATAAAAAGTTGCCCCCTTCTAAAACAAAAACCAGACACTGTTTTTTCCTGGTAGTCACGCCTTTTTGATGGGCCACACTGCATAGATAATTACATCTGACATTAATTTCTGATTAAACCAATGATAAATATGCTACCTGATAAAAGCCCAAATAATAATCAATCGTATTTACCCTTGACTGCTTCTATTTTCTTTTCCACGGATCTAATGAAAATATTACCTGGCAAATTTTGACTAAGGTCACACAAAAAGGGGTTATCAACAATTTTACATTGTTTAGAGAGACTATTGCACAAAAGGCTGTTGGATTTATATTGGTCTTGCAGCATTTCCCAATCAATTGATTCACTCATTACACCCTAAAAATTATATAAAGATCTGAAAAATTGTAATAATAGAGTAAATGATTAAAATTTGCCATTAAATTTATTGACCATTGTTGATAATCATTTATTGGTTTCAGCAAGGCTTTTGTTTACAATACTTGATTTTTCTAACACCATATTGTTAATTTTAAGTACATTCAATTGAGAATATTATTGTAGAAACCTAAAAACTTGAGGTCAATTCAACTTACTTTAAAAAAAACAATGATCACTTTAAAATATTTGTGCAAATATGAGGATCATTCGATAACTACATAATCTATACCAGAGTTGTCTGTCAATTCATATATTTGACTGTCAATTTAAATAGGTTCATTTTAAGCACTTAAAGATAGCTGACATGGAGAGTATCTCAAATGACTGTGTAATGGGGCTAAAAGGGTGTCAAATTTTTTTTCTGGCTTAGACTGATCGTCATACAGTCAGACACAAACGAAATAAGAAGGTATCCATTATTATAATTTACCTAAATGCCCTATCAAAACTAGGTCAAGGAGAGGAGGAAATTATACAAATGGTAATGGAAGTTATACAAAACCAAATGTAACAAGATTAACTAAATAATTTTTAGAGAATTATAATGATAATTTGCTGTCTTTTAAAAATTTAATTAAAGAGTTGTAAACATCTACAGAGCCAAGTGATAATAAATAATATTCCAAGGAGCTGCTATTTTATATTTTAATAAATCATTTATAAATTTGGACCAGTAGACTGCTTTTTTAGAATAATCAAAGAATATATGATCTAAATCACTTTCCTCTCCACAAAGCTCACATTTGTCATCATCCAAAACCTTTATTTTAAATAAGTGCTTTGGATAACATGTGTGCCCAAATTGTATTCTAATAATGGAAGTTCTGTGCCTCCTGGAAGCTCTACAAGACTTGTACCATATTGTTATCGAAAAATGCTCATATAAAATGAATTGTTTAAATAAATTTTATATCCTACATATTTTACCTCTGTAAATACAGATGATGCAGTGGACCATGATAAGCAAGGGACTAGCACTAAAGGTCTGGGCCAGTTTGATGCTGCTAAAGAAGCCATCTAAAGAAGGGTGCTTAAATTGTATTGAAAAAGCATTTGTTTGCATAACAAAATATAAAAAAAATAACTCAAAAAAGAATAACCAAATATTTAATATGTTTACCTAAAAACAATGATACTGAATGTATGTGTATAAATGCAATTAATAATAATTTGATTTGAAATATTAATGCAGTTCTGCAAACATATTTAACTTACATTTTTGATGATTTTGGTTGCTCCCTTTTGACTAAAACCTTCATAAATTTATTAACCAATCAACCATTATTTCATTTCTAAAACTACAAGCATAAAAATAAAGGAATTGTTGATTTTTTTTTACATGGGATAACCCCATTGATAGTTTAAATTATTACAAAACTTGAAATTACTAATATAAAATCGATATTAAAAAGTTTAAAAAATGAGACTAAAAATTTACATATTAAAAAAAAACAAACAAAATATTTCAAGAACAAAATTCAACAATCCCAATATAAAGAGTTAAAGTTAAATTGAAAATATCAAAATCGAGAACATTTAATAGCCCCGTGTATCTATATTGAATATTGAAAACATTGTGGTAACATAGAGCTTGATGGGGAACATTAAAGTTAATATGGCTTAACAGGTTTGGACAATCAATAAATCCATGTCTGATCTTATATATAAATATAGCTCCTAATATATCACAATGGTTCTTGAGTGAGGGTAAAGATAATTGTTCAATATGGGAATAATCATGATTGTCAATAGTAGTGTGGACATGGTGAGCACAATATCTCAAAGATTTATGCTGGACACTATCTATAGTATCAATATTGTTCTGAAAATAGGATGACTAAATATAACTGAACAGTATTCCAAAATAGTTCTGACAAAGCAACTACTTAATACACAAATCTTGTTGAATCAATGGAGAAATACTTGCAATTCCTAGTAATGAAATCAAGAAGTTTAGATACCTTTATTGAAATGTGGTAACAGAAAGTAAGCTTCTCATCGAAAATAACACCCAATTTATGTAGTGATATCATTTGTAGCAAATAAGTTCTATGTATTTTGAAAATAGTATGTCTTTAATCAATATCAAGGGAAATTTAAATGCTCTATAAGACAATCTATAGAAAACTTCAGGACATATAGAAAAGATTTATAAAATAATATCTATGAAAGGAAAAAAAAAATAAAGTTGTACTTGTTGAACACATTTCAAGGCAATAAATTACCACAATACATAAAGTAGATTGATAGTATAAATGTAGATTGTAACTTACATGACCTCCCATAGAAATCCCAGTTACTCCTAAAGGCCCAAAACCACGTTCTTCACACCAGTTTAAAAGAACTATACACTCAAATATAAGGCAGCCACCCATAACAAAAATATCAGACACATGGTGAAGACTAGATCTAATTTGATCCTTAGGTTTTCTAACACCATAGAAGGGATTCTCTAATATAATAGCTCCAATACCTTCTTTCAGTAATGGTTTCGCCATAATATTCCTTCTTCGCCAAAAATACTGGAAACATTTGATGTTTGTTATTATTTATGAGTGCTATTGACTATTTTGATCTTACGTGATCACCTGTCCCTGCTAGATGAATGCACACTGGTCTGTAATCACTCTTCCACTTCAGGGGAAGCAGCATTTGAAAATAACAGTCTTGTACTTCTTCAGGTACTAGTCCTGGCAGGAAAGTAGCAAATGGGCTTCTAAATTTTCCTTCTATTATTCTACAATCAGTTCTTTCCACTATCTATAAAAGAAATTACAAGTATGAAGTAAAAATAATAGGTACATACATAAGTACTTAATTTTGTTCTTACGTGCAAAAAAGATTCAAAGTCAACCATGATGTGCTTATCTAAATAATTCATAACATATCGTAGGATACTTTAAAAACTATTCCAATGAAGTAAACTGTAGAAAATGTGATCTTCGAATTTAAAAATACATTAGAGCTTTAAAAATGTTAAAACAGAAAAGATAGCTCATCAAAGTTCACAACTACCATATACTGAATCTGATTAGTTTTACTTACATTTATTATTTTAACAGGATAATTATTTGGTACTAATTTATAGGAACATTCTCTGTTGGATACAATCTTTCGAAACCTAAATAACCTACAAAAATGGTACAAACTATTAATTTAAAACGGATCTAAACTTCATTACTCCTAAATAATTATGCCAGTGGTACTAGTTTTCTTTTCCTCTCAATTGTTACATTTATTATTTTCTTGGTAACATCTTTTGTAAGATAGAATAGAAATGATCTTCATACATCGAAATTACCTCACTAATTTTTCTACAGATAGAGAAAATCTGTATCCAGATCTTCCCTATCTTATTCTAGTTCTGGTTTATTCATATTACCTTCTTGACAAATGTTAAGATCCAAACATATTTACTAAGAGTTTTATACGTAAATGGTTTAATTGTTCTGTCGGTTTTTGCCTACCGATAATTTGTGCTTCGTAGAGAACCTAGTACCAACAAATATTTGGGGCATATATGCTTGCTTAATTATCTTACTGTTGTTATTACATGTTGAAAACTTGGTCTATTGTGATTGATGTGTTCCTTCTTCTAAATCCACTGTCTACCTAAAGTATTTCAGCATGTTTTAAACAAATTTAACTCACCTTTGTAAGTTATCAGCCGACCCCCATCCTTTTGTGAAAAATTTAGATAACAGAAGTTTTCTGTATAGTACATCTAGACGACTTACTGGCATTCTTTCATTTAATAATAAGCCACAAGTATGAACCTATACCTTCAATTGTACTGCATTAAAACTTAATTTAAATGTGATGTTTATAAAGCACAAAATAATTTTTCTTACATTATACAAAAGCTGTCAAAGTTAAAAATGTTAAATTTTTGACATTGAAGTTCTAGGAGCAACACGTCACATTGACCAAAATGAAAATTTAATTTTCTTCTTTTTCTAGTCCTTCAAAGTTCACAACTTATTGAACTGAATCCGTCCGCACCAGGATATATGCCACCAACATTACTTCACAGTTGAGAAGTCAATGCTATCGTAGGTATTGAAACAAAAATAAAAGTAAAAGGTCACTGCTTCAACAACGCTATCTACTTACTTTTTTATTATTTACACTTGTTTTTGAATGGAATTTAGAGACGGCTTAACGCAACGTTTTTGTGGATCAAGAACGAACCAGCATAAAAAAATGTGATTAAGTGAAGTAAATGCCGCAAAAGATCTAGAGGGTAAGCATGAGTGACAGAATGAGGAAAACCAAGCACTAAAGCTCATCTGAAAGGTATAGACATAGATGTGTGCACCAGAAGACGTGTCTCAAAGTATGTTTTCGTGACTGAGTACTTTATTGCTTACCAAACTTAATTAGGAATAGTGACCTTTGGCTTTACCACTTCCCAATTAGGTTCAACTACATAGAAAAATATTAAAAGATGTTTGAGGAAGACAAAGAAAGTCTAGTCAATATGGAAAATAAACGGGTATAGACTGCAACTAGATGTAGCAAAAATCTTTATTTCCATCATTCTTTCATTATCTCCCATTGACTTTGTCTCTTCGTCGTGATTGTGGTTAAAAAAACACAGTTTCAAATAACAATACAGTTTTATTCATTAACAAAACATAAATAGTTTATTTTATTAATTATTTTATTATATATTTGAATTTTAATGTGTTCCCCAAATATTGACTTGGTTAAAAAGGAATATTAGAACCTTCCATCTTTCACGCCACATAAAATCATACAAAAGATGTGTATGTTTCCGTTAAAACCAAATTGGAAATTTTGACTTTCTGTGGTAAAAACATCGATTAAAGACCGAATACTATTGAAGCCAAACTTACAATTTTGGTCTTTCCCGGTAACATGTATATTACAATATACCTAGGTACCTACTAACTTTTGTATAATAAACTATTGCAATAAGAATACAATCTTTTAATAATTATTGCATTTGAGATCACATGAAATTCTTATTAAATGAATAGTGCATTTTTACAACACGTCCAAACACTACAATGCCATTTGTAGTTATATGCAATATTTTGCGACGATTATTCTAGTTGTTTGTTATACACATGTTAAAGCCACTGTTTGTTTCTACTATTTAGTAATATAATCATGACTTTTCGTGTTAGAAATACGTTTTTGAGCAACAAAGGCACAAATAAAACTGAATAAAAGTATTATGCACGAAAAATGCTTTTGAAATGAGTTATAAAAGAATTAATGTATGTTTTAAGAACTAATAAATCATCCATTGAGCCGTATATTTTCTTCACTTTGTGAGAGAGATGTAAGAAGATGGTGCCGGAAATGTGAACTGTGTGCATCCGGTAATGGTCCAGTTGGTAAAAAGAGGGCACATATGAAATAGTACAATGTTAGTAGTCCTATGGAAAGAGTAGCAATCGACATTGCAGGTCCACTTCTAGAGACAAATGATAAAAATTAATATATCCTGGTAGCCATGGATTATTTTACAAAATTGACTGAGGCCTATGCGATACCAAATCAAGAAGCTGCTACCGTTGCAGAGGTACTTGTTAAACAATTTTTTAGCTGATTTGGTGTTCCCTTACGAATTACGCAGAGAGAAAGAGTGCTAGATTAATAAAAGTACATGAGGTTTAATTAACAATATTAGTCTGTGTAACAGGTGTAATCCTGCAGCCTGGGTTGTGTAATTTCTCTGCTACACCCCTCTCATCAGTGAATAATCACCTGGAAAGTTATTTTCAATCTGTTTCTGGGAACGATATGCTCAGAAGTCATCTTCCATACGATGTCTCTAATTTTATTTATGATTACAGTTTAATGATGTCTTCTTCTTCGAACTTCTTTTTCAATGTTTAATATTCTTGTATATGTATCCTCTATTTTTGATGTTGGATATATTTTTTTCCAGTGTCTTGTTCATCTTTATTATCACTTGAACTAAACGGTGGACACTTCTTGTATACCCAGTCCTGACAGAACTGTAGTATTTTGAATGATTCTTTGTGATTAGTACTTAAAAACCAGTTTCCCATGTCCATTTTCTACGAGTGTTTCTTATAGAAGAAGGTATTCATTTATTTCTTTTACTCACCACTCGTTGCCAGCATAGAGTAGATAAAGAATCTTTAATCATTTTCTGGTCTCTCAGTAAATATGTCATACCTGTGAAATTGTTTGAAAGACAAAGAATATAATAATATATAATTCAAATTATTTTTTTTTAAGAATATTACAAAACTTACATTCAAAGTTGTAAGTCGTATGAAATACTCCAATTTCCTGAATCTTTAGAATGCTTATATACTGCATATCAAGTTTGGTGCAGATTTGTAAATAAACAGGTGGGCACGGAATTTATCGTATCATAATAATATTTCAATTTCTGATAGGTTTTTTTATTAAACTTCATTTTTACACGAGTAATATTACAAATATATTTAAGATCGTTAAAAGATTTACAATTGTGCAAGAGGTAGCTTTAATGTTAATTGATATAGTTTCAACTGGAAACAGGACTTAATTACTAAAACTGAAGTCCAAAGGATCTTTTTAATTTAATAAGTGAGTTCAACTGAATATCTCACTAAAAGTAACAGATCAAAAATCGTATAAATTATGGGAAAACTTCTCAGGTGTTAGAATTTTTATTAGAGTGGATGACCGAGGAAATTTTAGAGTTGATGAATGAAAGGAGAAAAACTATCAATACGATACGCTATAAACAGCTTTAAAACCAAATAAGAAGAAAAATTAGAGAGGCTAAAGAAACCGACTTCTATGAAAAATGTAAAGAAATAGAAGAACTGCAAAACAGATGTGACAACTTTAATCTACATAAAAAGTGAAAGAACTAGCCGGAGTAGAAAATAGAAGAACCTCAAATATTTTGGTCGACAAACATGGAAAGATTATGTTGGAGATAGAACAAAAACTACGACTATGGAAAGAGTACATCGAGGAATTATTTCATGACCAGAGAGAAGCTAGTACATCTGTATATAGCCAAACGGGAGATGTAGGTCCAGAGATAACCAAATCAAAGGTTAGTTAAGCATTAAAATCAATGAAACGAATAAATCTGCTGGTCCAAATAAATTGCCAAGCGAGCTATTAAAGCTGGTCAACGAGAAAAACCTGGACATAAACAACGAGAATCATCCTTAGAGAAATGTTGACATCAGCATTTGTGTGTTTGTCAAAGAAAGTGAATGTCAAAGAGTGCAGTAACTATCGAACCATAAGCTTAATGTCACACACCTTAAAAATTCTGTTGAAAATTATTCACGCCAGAATTCACTCTAAACTGGAGCTGAATATTAGTGGCACACAATATGGGTTCCGCAATGGTATGGGTATCAGAGAGGCATTATTCTCCTTCATGGTGCTGACACAGAGATGTTTGGATGTTAAACTTCCTATTTACGTCTGTTTTATAGACTACAATAAAGCGTTTGATAAACTAAAACATGACCGACTCATGGAAATTCTAAAAAATAAAAACCTTGATGAAAGAACTTTAAGGCTAATAACAAACCTTTATTACAATCAACGAGCAATAGTACGAACTAAAAAAATATACATCTAAACAAATGGAAATAAAGAGAGGAGTCAGGCAAGGCTGCATACTATCACCTCTATTATTTAACGCTTTGAAAGATGAAACAGTCTTTAAGGCTTTGGAAGAATACGAATTTCATGGCTTAAGAACCTGAGATAATGGTTTGGATGCAGCTCAAAACAACTATTTAGAGCTACTGCCTCAAAAGAAGAAGAAGAATTTTCATTAGAGGGATACAGTCTGGATACTTACATCTCTACACACCTATCTACACATATCCACTAAGTTGATAAGACGCTTAAGGATCAGATATCAATAACGTAATCTCAAGACCAAGCAGATAAAATTCTATTTTATAAGCAGATAAAACTATATTCTGTGTATTATTATAATATATTTCGTAAGTTTTATTTTGCCTTTCATATGTACCTACAGAAGTGTTGTGTATATATAATGAAATTAGCCATCTGTAATTGGGGTCTGGAAATATATTTTTTCATGATAAACGATCAAAGTACACACCTGTCTAACGGTTACAAAATATCAGACTACAACCCTGATACATCCACCAAGCACATGGCAAGTGACGTGACATTGTGTCAAAATGATCAAAGAGAGTTTACCATCTGATTGTTTCTTATTCTGTGGTACAGAAAATTTTGTGATCATAAAATTTATATTATTCTATGAGATACACAGATGAATTGTTTACAAAATCTTCTATAGTTATTTTTTTAACGCATCAGAAATCGAAAAATTATTAAGATGCGTTATAATTGGTACATACTACATTAATATACATTAAATAATTAAAGTATACATTGCTTTTAAGAATACTACTTTTTACAGCTCTTAGTCGAGTGATTAAACAAGTAGATTTCCAGAAAAATAGACCCTACATACTAACGATCACTAGTATTTCGTTTTTTAAAATTTCAATTGATTGCTTTATATTTATACTTTTGTATTTATAGTGCATATCCTAGAAGGTTTCTTCTGTCTTTTATTGACACTTAAGTCAAACCTACTTTATACTTCCAATTTTAAATGAATAAAATTGACATGAATCACAATATCCCCGGAAGCGCTTTTTTCTTTATGGTAACAATTTGTGCACTTTTTGGCACACATCGACATCTACTTCTATGAGGGGACATTTCTAACATTTAATATTTGGTTACTACAATCTCTAAATTCGTCCTACAGGCTACTTAGAATATATCAGGGTCGGTATACTGTCTGTTCCAATAATTGCCGTTATACATCCAATCTTCCTGTTTCGTGTATGGATTTACTCCCAGGCAGAACCACCTAAAGGGTAGAAATAAGTATTAATAACAAGAAAATACATATACAGAAGAACAAACAACTTCAAAATAACTCAAAACCAATAGACGAACTAACACTGGCAGACAATCTACAACGAAATAGAGAAAAAATCAATTTTTGTAAGCCTTTTTCTCTATTCGAATTTACGAATATAGGCCTCTCCTAATTCTTTTCATTCCTTTCATTCTTTTCATTCTCGAAATAAGCAGACGTGTAAAATGGGATGGGCAGCTTTCGGAAGACTCTCATACGTACTTAAAAATAAAAATATACCTCAAAAATTGCGAACCAAAGTGTTTAATTCCTGTATCCTACCTGGAGCCTATTCTATATGGAGCTCAAACCTGGACATTCACTAAAATAAACATGGGCTGGCCATAAAAAACGTCTTAATGATGGCCGATGGAATAAAGAAATCGGGAATTGGCGGCCATATGAAGCCAAAAGACCACGAGGAAGACCCCCAAGTGTGATGGAGCGACGATATTAAAAGAACTGCAGAGCCAATGTGGAAATGTCTTACAAACAACAGAGATGAATTGAAAGTAGGTATTGCGAGTTTAAAGTATCGCGAGAAATGGGCAAAGAATGCGTGGGAATGGACACGTAATGAGGGGACAGCGATATGAACTGCTAAGGCTGATAATACTGGGAAAGATAAGAGCACGAAGGAGTATAGGAAGAAGGAGAGTGTCATGGTTGAAGAATTTAAGGGACTGGTTTAAATGCAGTTCTATAGAACTCTTCAGAGCAGCAGTAGATATAGTAAAGATAGTAATGATGATATCCAACCCCGAATTTTGAGACGGCACTTGAAAAAGAAGAATATGTATTAAAAAAACATGTATTAAATGGCTGTAAAACTCATCCTAACAAACTTGATAAAATAAAAGATTTCTATACTTTCCTTGGAGTCCACTCCGGTGATTTTTTACTCTTTCTGCTCTTATTCGCATCTCGTTGTTTCTCCTCCAATCTGGTTTTTTCAGTAGCTGCACCCTCGATATCTCCTTGTTCAAGTTTTCTTATATCGGGTCTAAGTCTCGAATCAGTTGGACATAGAGGCTCATTTTTTTCAATTTCATTTAAAGACATTGCAAAATTGGTAAAATTGTAGTACTGTAAACAAAAACACACATTTTTAATATGCAGTGGAGAGTATATGAAATTAGTGGATAAAATAAAAAAAAATCAAAATTTAACAAAAATTTTCTAGACAAGATTTTTCTGTTTAAAAACTTACGTCCGAACTATGATCTGGCCTTCCATCAGATTCCCAGATAAGTGTTGAATTAGGAATTTCTATGAAATACGTGTGATGATTTTGGCATATTGCATTATCACGCATCTCTTGGAGACTGACATCCTAAAATATTGAGATATAAAGTCTGTTATTTTTTTATGTACTACACATTACAAAATTTCATCATCAACATGGCATACCGTCGTCTAAGAGTGTAAATTTACTAAGTACACTTTTGATTAATTGAATAATATTTTTTCTTGATCGCTACAAATTTTATGCTCTCCTGTAAAATATGTGATAATGGACTCTTAACCGACGATATACTAAATGACTGTTGTCTTATTGGATATTGTCTTCAAACTTGTGATTACCTCTGAAGTAGATTGCGATTTGTTCAACGAACTAACTTTGAGACTGTTCAGTTTCTGCAGCACCTTTTTGGAAGAACGTGACGGTGAGGCACCGGGGCTTTTGGTTTCAGAAAGCCCCGCGAACTGAAGGGGATGTGCTCGAACATACTCGTCAAAAGAATCTAAATCTGTAACCTTAACATAGTCCGACCATTTTCCATAAATGAATAAAAGCTTTTCATTCCTAAAAATAAATTATAAAAGGTAAATTGAATAATTCTTTTCCAGTTATTTCAAATTTTTTACGTAAATTGGGATTACTGCTGATTGTAAGCTATAAATGTTTAGCTCTGGGTACCAGCCAAGACTCAGATTTCTTTAAATTTTTCCCCACGTGCCGATAGTTACACTATTATCATGTTATCCCGTCTGTCGATAGTGACACTATTACCTTGCTTCTTTTGTGGATAAGTATGGACAAGGAGCAAACAAAAACCACGATAAATGTTAAATTCTAATATACATATATATTTTTTAATACTATATACTTATATTAGAAGACTATTTATAGATTAAAATCCCTTATGTCACATTACGACTATTGTGCACAATAATTTTCATAGCAATCGCCCGTACTATGGTTAATAATAGTACGGCCGATTAAGAGCATAGGCGCAAAATGTCGCTAGTCAAAATGTTCAATGCGTTTTAAATGTATACATTTTTTTAGTGCTGAGAAAACTAATAAGAATTTTTGAAAAAAAAAACGCATAATGAAAGATTGCATTTTTACCGAGGGTCGAAAGTCCCTTAGAATAACCAAAAAGTTTCTTTTGAATCAGATATTTGAAATTAAAAGGCACACTAAATTTTTTCTTTTTTTTACCTCTGTAACTTATTAAATTAAACATTATAGAAGTTTTCAGGGACTTTTTGCCCTCGGTAATAACGAGATCTTTCATTCTGAGTTTAAATTTTTCAAATAATACTTTTTGTATAGTTTTTATCACACAATTGTTAGCACAAAAGTAACGGCACGATAAAGTTTTGTAACGCAATGACTACATCGAGTCAGTTATATAGTTGTCTAAGCTGGATAATCCCGCAAAAAGATAACTCTAGAATCTAAGATAATGAAATGAGATTTTTCTGTCCAAAAGGTTCATTAACACCAGCAATCTTCGCACAACTACAGTAGATGGTTTTGGACTATCATGTACTAACCAAGATAGGTAGAGTAGAAGCCTCCTTGGACAGAAGTTTTTGATTTGCAGAAGCTGTCTATATAATTCGACTTTTTCGGATATTTGGAGCATTTTAGAAAGGATTTCTATACATATTTTCATAGCTATAGATGAGAGCTGAGTCCATTATGACAATACTATTTATAAGTAAGGACTAAGGGAGTGGTATGACCCAATTTTTCGGCCTCAAAGCAAGCTATAATCCAAAAATCAATTAAGAAAGCGTTTAATGACATAGATAAGCTTCAAACTGGTAATACGATAAACTCAGATATTATTAGAAGAATTTAGACCAGCTTAATGTAAACATTAGTAAAAACAAGCCTTGTTTGCAGTAGAAAAAAATATTTTACATATCTCTCACATAGCTAAAAACGTGAATAAAAAAATTAAAGTATGAACTCAACAATGTATTGTCACAAAATCCACACTATTCGTCAGATTTAGCTCCCTTTGACTTCGGCTTTTTCTAAAATCTCAAAAAAAATTGTAAGTTTAAAAGATTTTTATTGAAAAAAGTTTTAATAGTTGTACAGTTAATATCGAGCAACAAAACTTATTGAAAATACTACTTTTATTAAAATTAAATAAATATTTCATATTACAACGAATAGGTAAAACTTACGCTTTATTTGTAATAAACCCTTCAACTTTGTGCAGCTCTTTATTATTACCTGTAGCTGCTTTAAAATGTAAATAGGCTTTAATGTCTGAGGAATAGCTATTTATTTCCATTTTGCCAATTTGTTCCATCCAGAGTTTTCCAACTATAATATTATGGACAATACATTTGACATTCGACCACCAATAGGCTTCCTTTAACCTAGAAGTAAATGAAATCAGTTTTAGTTTAATATCACTACAAACATAGTTCGATAATAGCAAAACAATTATCGTTGCACGTCACAAATAGGTGGAAGCAATACATTTTTGTTTTGTAAATTTTATTTATTGGATTACGCGGATCTTCTACTGAAAATGTGGCAACAAGGTAAAGGTAAATATGACGTGCAACATCATTTGTTTTGCGTATAGTGTAAATTACTTTGGAAATTCCACTGTAATAACTCCTTGCGGCTGAATTTCAACGTTCTTTCCCCAGAAACTTAATTTTGGATGAATAGATCCATGGAAGACCCAACCCTCACCTTCAGCGTGGAACGCCGACACCGGAGGATGGTGACTGACTTGTTCGCAAACCATTTTGAACTCGGCCCTCTTTAATTCGAAGGTCTCACCTAAAAGTGGATTAAATGGCTTCCCCAGTCTGTCCCAATTCGAGGCCAGAGCACTTACAGCAAATCCTGAACAGAAAAAAGCGTAAACTAAATCGTAAAATACGGACTAGGGAAGATTTAATAAAGACAGGGTGGTATTTTAAAAAATACTTGTTCGATTTTTCAATATCTTATTGAAATATACTTACTACATTTAACAGAAATTAATCAGTTTTTATCGAAAATACGTTTCTTTTGGCGTTTTTATTTATATTTTAGGAACGATTTCCCAAGTGAAAATGGAAACGGATTTTCAATTAAAATTGTAGTTAATTCCCTTTAAATACAGTATTTTATATAAAAATACCACAATAAAATAGTTTCAGAACCATAATCTTTATTAAAATACTTACTACTTGCACCAAATATGTGTTAACATAAATATAAATTCCAATACAGGTAATTTGTTACTTGCCTATTACTAATTGGAGTCTCTCAATAGGATCTTCCTGTTCTGCTGCCTTCCTTAACAGATATGCATATTCCATGTACTCTGCCAGACGTTGAAGAAAACTAAGCGGCTCGTTATAAACGACTGGCATGGCGATTGTGGTTAATTCTTTTCCGATACAATTTTTTAAAACCTGCCAGCTGGTGAATTCATTGCGGTACATAGGAACTGGTAAGCTTTTTCTGAAAATATATTTAGTTAGAGGTAAAAAGTGAACACCAGCCAAATCGATGGTTAGTCACTGTTTGTTGCCTAGAAACAGTTTTTATTACAACAAAGACTAAAGTAAGAATAAAGACAAGTTCTTATGGTACGGTCATATCTTTATGTACACGAGTATCATGTATATTTAACAATACAATTTTCATTGGCAACATGTGAACCTTCAACCTGTATGACCATGCAAAACTTCAAGTCTGTATTTATTTTGATAGCCAAAATATAGGGTTGTCTTCATCTTAAATGCGACACACTGTAAATATATGTCATATTAGGTAAAAGAAAAGAATTAAAAACGTAAACGAAAAATGTCAAAATATATAGGGTGCCCCGCATAAAAAAAACATAAGTTAGTATTATATATCTCCTTATTAAGACTATATATCCCTTAAAAATTTTTTGTGCGTCCCTACTGCTTTCCATAATATATCTATAAAAAGTTTCAATAAAGATTTTTAAATTTTGTCTTAATAAAGAAGATTTTTGTTTTCGACATTTTTCACTAATTGCCCTGTGTCTCGCTAATATGGTTAGCTATTGATGATTTGATTAGGCAATCATTACTATAACGAAAAAGAAGACTTCCAAAAGAAGAACTACTTTTTTCTATCTCATCTAGTTTTTGGTATATCCTGAAAAACATACCAATTTGGGACACCCTGTACACGTTCACCTCCCTATTTTTTTTCGTTTTAGGACCTAATTTTCACAATACATTAGGTCACCATGACACTTTAGTAACTGCACATTTAGCATCCCAACCTCTCCTACTATAGGGATTCCGTTTACTACAACGCCAGCAATTTCGTTGTCCAGTAAAAAACTCTATAACCCCAGTTAAAACTTATCCTGGAGCAGATGTTAACTCAGACCATAATCGGTTAGTTGCTGACGTGAAAATAAAATTAAAAAGAATTGAACTCAGAAAACAACAACCAAATAATGTAAGAATATAAGAATGTAAGAATTAAAGAAAAAACAATGTGAATGTTAATAGGCAAAAAACACTAACTGACAACAAACAAATTATGGATGTAAATAAATAGTGGTATAATATAAAAAACACATTACTGAAACCAGCTCAAGAAAATTTGATACAACATAGGTCAGAGGCTAAAAACAGTGGATAACAGAAGAAATACTATTACAGATGGAAGAAACAAGGAAATATAAGGGAAAAGATCTACAGAAGTATAAAAAAATATAACGAATAATTAAGGAAAAAATCAAAACATCTATTTGATGGAACAATGTAAAAAGATAGAAGAATTAGAAACAAAAAATGATATGAGAAATATGCACACAAAAATAAGAGAAGTGACTGGAATGGGTCGAAAGAGACAGCAAGGAGACATAAAAGACAAAAAAGGAGTACTACTAATATATTTACCAGAGAAATTAAGACGATGGGAGGAGTACTTTAGAGAACTTCTCCAAGATGAAACAAGTGAAATGCAGAAAATACAAGAATTAAAACCTTTAGAGAGACAGAAGATCACGATAGGTGAAATCAAATATGCTATCAAAAACTCTAAGGAAAATAAGGCAGTTGGATTAGATGAAATATCAGTAAAACTGTTAAAACCAGTGGAAGATGATAACTTGGAAATATTGGCAGATTTATTTACCACGGTGTACGATACAGGAGTAATACCACAAAAGTGGCTGAAGTCAGCATTTATAACCATCTTTCGAACTCTGGTTATACCGCAGAGTATTAAAAATGTCATGGATTGATAGAATTACAAATAAAGAAGTACTGGAGAGGGTTGGTAAAGAAACAGAACTAACCACTACTATACAAGTCAGAAAACTGGAATACCTAAGCCACGTGATGAGGCGACCAAAATATGAAATTTTGAGACACTTAATACAGGAAAAGATTCAAGGAAGAAGATCTGTTGGCCGAAGGCAGAACTCATGGTTAAATAATCTACGTGATTGGTATCAATGCAGATCGATTGATTTGTTAGAGCAGCAAGTTCAAAAATAAAAATAGCCGTTATGATTGATAAACTCTGTAGGGAGACGGCACTCTAAGAAGAAGAAGTGTCTTTTGCATAATAAATTTTAATTTGCTGTCAAATAAAAATAACACTATTTACAGGTTATATATTTTATTTTGACTAATATTTATTTGTCAAAAACAAAAAAATATTAGAATTCATTTTGATTTATTCTTATATAAAAAATATTCAGTGACCAGTAATAAAGTATAGTTTCTTTACCAATCTATTAATAAATCACAGAACATATTCTCTTAGTCCTTTAAACATAGCTGACTCGATTAAAACAAAGCGAGATTTGGTCAAAGGATAAAAGATATTTTTAGCCTTGCCAACTATTGAAGATTCAATTAAGTGTTCAGGCATAATAGGGACCTGTTGACTTTTGGCTCGGCTATAATCAAATTAACAGAATTTGCAATATTAATAAAGTGAACTTCATAACCTCCATACTGTGTTTATATTATTCGTATCAGTTTAAATTAGGTGCAGAAACTTTGTCTAAATGGAGACTATTAAGTGTGAATATAAAGGGTAGTTAAATAATAACCAATATTTCTCTCTTGAATATACAATTCCTGTCATAAAATTTACAATGACTGATAAATACAATGAAAAGTTGGTAAAGAACAAGTAAAATTTTTCAGAAGGCAGTAAAAATGACTACATAAGAAATATTAAACTTTCTAACCAACCGTAGCTTCAGTGATCGTAATTATCTAGTTATTGTCCGGATAAGATTTGTCTAGTGAAATTCACTGAAACCATTTGTTTGTAAAAATCTTAAGAAAATAAAAATTAAACGACCTCTCTTAAATAAGGTGGGTGATAAATAATAGCAAAGTTGTCTTAATAGGTACGTTTAGATTCGACACTTATTGCATGAAATTTGTGGCGGACATACATTTGTAATAATTTAAATAATGAAAAATTTATGTGAGCGATATAACTACCAGTCTATATGCTATATACACATCTATAACGATAGATGTAAACACTTGTTAGTTTGAAATTGAAACTGAAAAATTATCAGTTGAACGTCATTGCTTACTAGCAGGAAACAAAGTAGTGATCCCTAGTGCTTTGCATAATAATATCTTATTCCTATTTCATGAACAGCATTTAGGAGTTGTACCAACAAAAATGCTAGTTAGATCGTACTGTTAGTGACTTAAGTTAACAGTCGATATTGAAAATTTTATTAGTTCTTGCAGTATTTGTCAAGAAACACAAAACTTTTTTAATTCTAGTACATTTTTGACTTGACCAAATGCTCCCAATAATTTTTATAGAGCCAGTATAGATTTGTTTCATACGCATAATCACCCTTTTTTAATAGTAGTAGACAATAAATCTAAATGGATGGATGTTAAAATGATGGACAGGGGTACAAATGCTTCTGAAACAATTAAAAGAAGTATTTGCTGTGTTTGGGTTACCAGTTGAATTGGCTTCAGATAATGGACCACCCTTAAGTTCTAGTGAATTTGTATAATTTTGTCAACCCAATGGGATCATACCAATAAAGGCTATAGCCTTAAAGCAAATAATGTTTGGATAAAACATTAAATTTTAGAAGAAGCTTTCTAATAACAAGACAGATTTTTTTTCTAACATATAGAAATACACCATCAACGGTTACAGGCATTAGTCCATCAGACAACTTATTTAAAGTTAAGCCAGAACGAGATTTGATTTAATTAAACCTCATAATAAAACTCGTATTGCAGAATCAAGTTAGTCCAATGGTATAAAACTATATAATATTAACGAAGTTGTATATGTAAAGAATAAATTAACCAAGTTATGGTCCAGGGGAAGATAGTACGAGTTGTAAGTGCGTCAACATATTTCGTACAAATAGGGGAAAATATAAGTTTATATATATACACAGACTTTTATAAATATCCGTGTAATTATATCATTAAATTTAAATTTAGATTTACAAAAATATTCTGATTTAAAATTAAAAACAGTGCTCGTTTCGGGACATAATGGACAGACGGATTCAAAATCGATTTTGAATCGGAAACAATAACCGGGATCAGGGAGGCGAAAATGTTCAAGGTCATTTATACTCCAGCAAAAAGAGACATATTTGACAAAATTGGAAGTAAAATATGTCATCCATAAAATATCTTTATTTTTAAGAAAGGAGATTTTTAAAATGATGTTGGAACAAAAAAGAAATAACCTATTTATTTCACATCAAAATATTAATTAAAATTTGAAAGAAACTAAAATTTCTTTGATATTGATTTAGTCTAAGGAAAAATTAACCCTTTTATACAATTAATTAAATTTTTGTAATATTTTGATAACATGTTTTTAAAAATCAGATTATGATGCTC